CATCGTCAAAGATGAGAAGAAGCAAAGGTGCTCAGGCAGCACAGGTGGCCCGAGGCGGGCGACGGACCAGCTGCTGGCCCCGGGGTGCTGACGGGGCTTGGAGGCTGGATGAAGGGGCTTGGATTGGGCGGGCAACTCCAGCTGCCCGGTGGGCTGTCCCTGGGGTCCCTAGGGGTGAGGTTGAGCCCAGGAGGGGGTGGAGCCAGCAGGCAGTGCCATCTGTGCGACACAGGATAAGGAAACTGAGCCTGCAGTCTGTCTTCCGCCTGAGACGCTGCGTAAAGGCTTGACCTGGGTCACTGTTTGCTCTTTCCCTCCTTACATGTTTGCTATCTTTCCTAATTTAATTTTTTTTAAAGATTTACTTAGCATATGTACTGGGGTACAGGCCAGAGGTTCAGGGGGTGAGAGGATTCACCAGAGACAGAGTGGGGAGCAGAACAGGCTGACTGACAAAGTACACTGCCGAGGGGAACAGCGGGCAGGTCAGGAGAGGTCTGCCACGCCATGTGGGTCACCTCCGGGGCAGGAATTGAACTCGCACTGAAGTTGCTGCGGCCAGCTTGCAGTGCTGGGTCCTAACCCGCTGTACCACCAGGGAGGGCCCCGTAATGTAATTTCTACCATGATAATGGGTGATCATTTTTAAAAAAAACTGTCTTTCTGACTTGTATGCCATGGGCTTTTCTTTTTGTGGGTGCTGGGGGAGATATGAACAAGGATGTGAGCCCAGAGAGGGCTGTGCTGAAGCTGATGAGCTGGAGGTGACAGCTGTCAGAAAGGAAACTGCAGAATAAGCAATAGTCTGTGGCCACTTCCTGCCGGGATGCACCACACCCGCTCCTCCCCTGCCCCCCCTCAGCGAGCGCTACTCTCCAGCCTACTCAGTGCAGCCCCTCACAGGGAACCGTGGTGGAGTCAAGCATGCTTAGGGCACGAAAGGGAACACAGGTGCTTTTCCAGATCCCCATCCACCTTAGTCAAAACCTTTATTTCAGTAGCCTGGCATTTAAAGCGGTGAGTTTCCTTGGCCTGGAAAATTCCCTCGGGAGGAGCAAGGCACTCTGGCCCATGAAGCATCACTCTGTGACACACATAGACACAAAGCTTAGGGGCAGCTGCAAGCTTTGGAACAGCCCCCTGCAAGGCAACAGCCAACACCGTCTGCCAGGCTGTCAGGGACAAGGGGTGTCCTTAACTTTCGCTGCTCCAAAAGACAGGGCCCCATGAATGGATTCCTTACAGCAGAGAAGGTTCCAGCGCATCGTGAGGAAGAAGGGGTTAGCATCTGGGGCTTTCCAACAGGGGAGTAAGCTGCCGGAGGAGGTGAGCTCCCTGTCTTTGGGAGGATTCCAGCAGAGGCCAGATGCAAGCCTGTTAGGCTGCTGTAGAGGATTTTTGCATGGATTAGGCGGTGGAGTATATTTGTGATTATCCAACTGTGTTTTGTGATGTCCCAGGGTTTCTTGGATGTGCCTGAGAGGCTGGGCTGCTGAGGAAAAGGGAGAGAAATGCTCATGTATGGAAGGCCAGCCTCCATCCTGACTCCAATCAAATAACGGTAGCTAATGCCTACTGAATGCTTATGGCAGTCCAGAAATTAACTTACTGCTTCCAGGGAGAGATGCCCGGGCGAGCCAGAGGGCAGTGGTGGCTGCGTGCCATCAGCTACTGCCGTTCCCTACCACCGGGGAGCCAGCTCTCCTGAAGCAAACTGTGTTATCCCCAAATAAACGCCCCAAACAGAGACTCTGAAATGGGGTTTCGTGGGAGTGGGTTTTGGGTTTTTCTGCTGCTCACTAAAGAGATGACTGCCCTGGCTTCCTGTGTTTCTTAATTTATTCCTTTTGGGAGCAAGACTGGCCAAACACCCTCTGTTTCCCACATGAGTCTCCTCATTGGTGGGAAGCCTTCCTGGGACGGCTTGATCCTGATCAAATGTGACGGCACCATGCATGCTTCACAGACGGGTTTCGAGGCTGCTCTGCAGCTTCCTCCCTCTGCCAGGGCTTTCTAGAAGGAGCCCGAAAAACCCAAAACCCATTCCTAGAGAACTGACTATGATGAGGCAGGTAAGGCATTGTGGTTTGTGAACAAAGCCACAGCACTAATCACGCGCCCGGTGCTGAGACCTAGTTTTGGTGACATCACAAACTGCCAGCGAAACCCTATGATAAAGGCCGCACTGTCCCCACTTTCCAGACGGCGAGATAGACGCTCAGAGCATCATGTGCTTCTCTGAGTGCAGTAAATGAGCGCTCTGCAATTTCTGGATGCCCACACCTTACCGTCATGAAGAATTAACACAGAGGCAAAAATGAACACACAGCCTTTAGAGTTCTCAGAGTCTTCAGCTGGATCTGTCTGTGTCAGCTCCTGCTCTCTGCAGCTCACTAAATCTCCTGCCCACTAAATCTGCTCTCCAACCCCACTCACTCCTCCTTATTTGTTTCTCCAACTTCACCGCCTCCAGGAAGTCCTCCTGGATGCACCTTCTCCCCTACCCCTGGGAAATGCCCTTCTCACTGCCCTCAAAGCACCGCTGCCTGGCATGTCACACCCTGAACCCCTCCTAGACAAGCAGCTTGGGGGCCAGGCTTCCGTATGCGTGCTTCCCAGGGCCACCACCCTAGGCCTGCAGTCTGTTTGGACAAGTTTTGACTTAGTCACTGGTACGAGAGCCCTTTCCCAGCTTGGAGTACCAGTGCAACCAAGACGTCACTTCTTTGGGGTCTCACCATCTGCGTGGTCACGGCGCTGCTCACCACAAAGCTGGCAGCGTCAGCTGGGGGCCGTGGCCAGAGCTCACCCTTTCATTCTGCTTGTCTCTGCAGGTGACACTGACATGTTGTGAAGGACCAAGGTGGGACACAGAGATGCCCTCCAGGGGTGTGAAGTCACAGACTCTCCTCTCCCCAGCAGGCCAGCGAGGCCACAGGAACCTAGTGGGAGCAGGGCCTGGGCCCCACTTTCTTGGTTTATGAGAGCCGGAAGCTCCTACTCCTTGTTCGTAGCACCCACAAAATCCATGTGTTTCCCCCACCCCCACTGCTGCCACCTTACGGCAGAGTCCTGTCCCCCCCTGGGATGTGGCTGTCTCTCTCCTGCTCTCCCTGCTTCCAGCCTTGGCCCTTCCACTCTTTGCTACACTGAGCTGAATGCGCTTCTAGAGTGTACCCCTGACCCTGGGGAAGCCCTCTGGTGGACGGGGCTGAGGCTCGCTTCTAGGCAGGCTCCTCTTCTGACTCTTGAGTCATCTTATCTGCTTCAGCACACTAGCGACCGGCAAGTTCTCTTTCCATCTCAACCTCGTGTGTTCTTCCTTTCCCTGAGAATTTCACCCTCCTTGCTTGCTTGTTTAGTTTATTCAGTAACGAAGCGCTGGGTGTTGGGGAAGGAGGCCTCACAGGGTGTCAGCGCAAAATCTCCCATTCAGTCCTCTTACATTCTGCTCTTACATTTGGGGGGGAAATGAAGGCGAGTTTTGAATGGGGAGCAATGCTGTGATGGAATGAAAACGGGATGTTATGAGGGCAGGCGGCCGAGCCAGGCTCAGAAGGAGCATTAGGGATGGCAGTGGATGGGGGTGCACTGTGGGGAGTCTACATTTTGTTCACGGTCTTCCCAGATCCATATAGCCCCGACATCTCTATCACTGTTCACTGGCGAGCTGCTTACAGGTTGGGATGGGCCGCCCCAGCTCTGACCTGCTGTCCAGCACACTCACAGGGCCAATCAGCACACTAGCAGACCGTGAGAAGGACGCCTGGCGACTTCTGTACCCGGATGACCCTCCAGGGGAGGGCAGAGCCGGCGAGCCATTTATAAAAGGGGTCCCGCTTCACAAGACACGGAGAAGCGCCCACAGAACTCACTGATACAGATGATTAACTGACGACTTCATCCTGCAAGGCTTTTTATCTGAGATTCTTCCACAGAGGGGGAGGAAGGAAAGCAGCAAGAGAACAGTTTTCCTTTAGTGTTTGGAGAAAAGTGCCGAACGGGCACTCCGATATTGATGATGATGACAAAGACAGATCTGAGTAAAGAGAACTAAAGGAAAACCAAAGACCGGTGTTTATCAAAACCTCTAAGTGCTTCCCAGCATCTGAAATGGAGCTCAAGTGCTCATGGTCCTCTTAGCTTCAAAGAAGGGCAGAAACTGAGAAAAGCAGAGAAGCGGGGTTGGGGAGGAGAAGAGCTGGAGGGTGATACCAGCCGGTGGGGCTGGCCTCGAGCCCAGTCCTCAGCACAGCGCCAGGTGAGAGCCTCCCCTGCAGACCTTCTATTGAGCACCTCACGTCACTGGGAGCCCCAAAGAATTTCCATGGCACCAGAGCAATAACAGAAGCCATAACGATAACAGTAGCAACGTCCTGGCACTTTGACTCAGCACACAACCTCCTTCCCACCTGACCCCGCCTCCGTGTTGCTCAACTTTTCCTAGTCCCTTCCTCACGTCAAAATCCATCCTGCCCCAGGGCCTTTGCACCAGCTTCTTCCGCTCCTTGGAGTGAGAATGGCAGCTTGATGAGGAAGGTGTTGCCGCCAAAGCCAGGTCCTGGCCCTGCTGTTTCTGCACTTTCTGCTGCCGCTTCTCCTCTCTGTGCCTCAGTTTTATTTCTGTTCTAACAGGCAGGTGCTTCATGGCTTACCTGCTGCCTTCTTCTCCATGCTCACCCCTAACGGCCTGGGTTATTTTCTGTGAAACTCTCGTTTCACCTTTTTCACTGACCGTCCTGAATCCAGGGTCTCCTGTGAGGTGCCATGCCCACAATGTCCTGGCTGTGGAGAGACACTTTATCTGTTGTTTCCCTGGTGTCCCTCTGCTTGGAAACTCACTTCCGACTCACCTGGCCCAAGCTCCGTCTGTGAGGAACATGAAGTACCTGTCCACGGGGAGTGAGCCCCGGCTCAGGGATGTCATCTTGTGCATCTCGGTCAGCTCCGCGCCTGGCAGAGTCCAGAACGCTCTGCCGCCCTCCGCACGAGCCACTTACATTTTCACTGTTGACATCAGCTTCACTGGGGCAGCCGAACAATTCCCGCCTCAGGAGGTTCCCGTCATACTCCAGGAAGGTCAGGTAGAGGTTGCGGAAAAACTCCACATGCTTGTTCTTCACCCGAAGTTTCTTGGGGGAGTTCCAGTGAATGACCTGGTGAGTGAGAGAGGGGCAGTCAGGCACGAGACCTCATGTTTGTAGCCAGCCAGGCTCAGGCCCTGGGATAAGCATTACTGGTGGACTCATTCATTTATTCAACATGATGGGATGTCGCTGGAGCTGCAAGGAGCAAATTCCGAGTCAGTGAATGCTGTCCCGAAGGGACGCCACCTTCATCTCCACGTCAGTCAGCAAGCACGCAGGTATGGAGGACTACGAATCCCAGCATGCCACGAACCCAACGTCCTGAGCGGGAGCTGCTGGGAATTAGGGGTGGAGCTGAGTGGCCAGGTGGACCTCTTAGACACCTGTTAGAGGCAGGTGGATCGCCCGCTTGCCTCTTCAGGTTGACCTAGCACCCTATCTGCCAGTAGGACTGATGGCATCTAGCCACAAGTTGGCCATCAGCAACAGGCAAATTCATTTGGCGGCTTTTTCAACACACAGAACCAATGTCAATGTCCTCCTGGCCTGGGCTGCTGCCCCTGGAGTTGCCTACTGATCCCGGGCCAGGTCTGAGTTCCAGCCCCACATGTGTTAACTCCCTGCTATTCCTGCTGCTCCTTCAGCTCTCAGGGTGGTAACTGTTTCCCCCAACTATGTATTCTTGCTCTGTTAGTTCCCAATCAATACTTGATGTCTAGTTACCATTTTTAAAGGTTAAATTCTCTGCTGGAATCATGCAGAGGAATCTGCCAGAGCTCACGGATTCACTGCCTCGTAGAGCTGTGAGAAGCCCACAGTTACAGCTCCCTCCACCGGGTGGTGGGCACAGACGTCAGCCATATGGAGACAGGACAACAGAGTGAGTCACACGAATGTGCTGGCTCCCAGTGCATACACTCATGTTTACACACTACTTCATCTCTAAATATGCGACAGCATTACATCTAAAAAATGTACAAACTTATCGTTTATGTTAAGAATGCTGACCATCATCTGATGCCGCTAGGGAAAAAAAAAATGGCATGAACAGACCCGCTGTCACCAACTTTCAATTTGTAAAAAATGTAGATTCTACAATGCACAGTGAAGCCAAGTGCAGCACGACAAGGTGTGTCTGCGCAGGCAGAGCAGGTGAGCAGTACCTGGCACAGGAAGGGCATCCATCAAGGCTGGGGGTTGGGGTCGTGCACAAACAGTAATTAGGCTGAAACGATGTGGGGAGGATGAGGAAGAAACACTCAGAGAAGCTTCACAGGAGACTGCTGGATTGAAGAATGTGCGGGAGGTGCCTGGGGAGACAAGGCCTGGTGCAGAGAGCATCGGGGCACACCGGGCCGGGGTGGGGTGGGCAGATGTTGAGAGCTGGGGAGGTCGTGTGTCTTGGGGGGGCAGGACCACCTGCAGGACTCAGATGGCCTCACTGGGGTCTTAAGGAGGGCTCTGGCTGACTCTGGGCTTAAGGAAGATGACTGGTTACACAGATGCAGCTGGAGAAGAGGCGGGGGGTGAGGTGGGTGACCAGAAGTGACACGAGGGCCAACAAGGGCAAGTCCGCTGTCACTGCCAGCAGTGCTGCTGTGTCCTCGCTGGAAGCTCAGCTAAGGAAGCTTCACCATCAGCTTCACGTGCTGCCTTCCCGACACTTCACCAAGACCCTGACCAGAACAGCAATGTTGGAGATGAAGACCCCTTGGAGGAGAAACCTGCCCAAGGCCACACAGCGGGCTAGTGTCAAAGCCTGGCTTCAACATGAGCTTGAATCAGCTGGATTCCAGGGCTCACGTGTGCATCCTCTACACAGAGAACAAGAGACGACAGCTAGAAAAAATATCATGCTTTGTCGTCTTATAGAGGAGACAAAATGCAGCAGAATATCCCCTTTCTTCACCCTCTCCTCCCCAGGCAGAGAAACAGCCTCCGCGAGGAGCGGCAGTGGGCACCAGGAGCTCAGTCCTTCCCGGTTGTGGCACCTGCAGAGGGCCCAGCATCTGTGTGCAGAGAGGTCTAGAAGATCCACTAGCCTCAGTCCTCTCTCGGGTTCGCTGCACGCAGCAACAGACCTTGCACTCTGCGAGACCAAGTCCCCATCTCAGGGTACCACGAGGGCAGGAACATGGCACAGGCCATTCCGATATGCCCTGCCCACCCGCAACCAGTGATGCTCAACAGCATAGCAAGGACTGGGGTGTCAGACCAGCCCTCGTGACACATTCCTGTTTCATTTTGGGGGGCTCAGTTTCCTCAAAGTGGGGGTCAGGGGCTCCTCGAATTCCATGGTGGCAAAGAAAGCTGCACAAATGCTGAGCACAGTGCCTGCAGGTCGGGGTGACTCCACCTGTGTGAGTCCCCCACCCAAAGATGGGACCACCAGCCTGCACTGCTAGTGTTCTCCCTCCTCCCTCCCGCCAGCATGACCCAGGGCAGCATTCAGTAAGGAAGCAGGTGTTTAGCACTGGGAGAGGGCGGAGAGGTCAGCAGACCTTGCTTGGGATGAAGTCACCGGCAGCACCTGCATTTCAAGGAAGGACGCATGTGCATGGTGCAGTTCCCTTCCTGTGCCTTTTGAAAGGGGTGGAAGGGAGGACTCTCCCCTGTGAATACAACCAACCTGAGCCCGACAAGGTCCTGGGCCACACATTAAAATAATTGCATGCTAGCTGGTGTCACTCACTCCCAGTGGGGATCACGTCTTTGCTGCAAAAGAATCTGGTGCCTGCCAAGTGCTGAACCAGCAGGGAGGCTGACGGATGTGCATCTGACTCAGGAAACTTGGACTTCCTCAACAGGGAGACATTTAAACCGAGTGAAAATAAGGGCTGGCCAGTGGGCCCCCAGACAAACAAATCTTTTAACTTAGCACGCACCAATCTGCCAGGCCTTTTGGAGACACTCTCATTAAACCCTCCAACGTAGCCCACTTAGCCCCGCTGTCCGTTTCTTAGAGATGACTTGCACATCACTCCACTGGTAAGTGGCGGGGCTGAGGCACAAGCTAGTGCTAAGTCCAACCCACTTCCTCGCTGCCTCTGTGCGCTGGCCCACGGGCTGAGCATCGGCAGATGGGGTGAGGTTTCAGGAGAAGAGTTTTGCCTAAAGATCCCAAGGTGGGTTTGGACCAGGTCAGGGTGGGGATGAGGATACAGGTCTCTTGTTGTCCATCTAACCTGGGCCATCACTTACCCCATCAGATCTCCATCTGCTGTGTCTGCCCAGATCTGGGTTAGTGCTTCATCTATAGCAAATGTTGGTGTGCAAAATAGAAGCAAGGATTAAAGGAAGGTAGAGGAAGGTGAGTGACTGAGTGAGTGTGTGTGAGTGTGTGTGTGTGTGTAGGTGTGGGGGGGTGATTACTGGCAGGTGAAAGGGTTTGGAGAACTCTGCAACCTGGCTACCCTCTGTAGGTAAGCACTATCAAAAGACTGAATTTACTCTCAAAGACTATGAATTTATGAATTTACTGGTTTTTAATCATCAGAACACTCCATTCTCCTGTGCTAGACTCTGGAGACATAAATCACTGATCTAATACCCATTCTATGCTAGACATTAGCTAGGGCTGGCTTGTGGGCTCACATTTAGCCCTCAAAACAACCTAGTAAGGCTGTTCCTATTACTGTCCTGTTCTACAAACAATAACATTGAGGCGGAGGCTGGCCTAGGGTCACTCAGTAAGCTCCCAAAGCTTTCTCTTTCTACCACTTCATTCACTCATTCAAAACATGTTCACGTGATCGCCAAAGATGAGCCAGGCTCTGATGGGCTGTGAACAGGGAAATAGAGGTAAGCGATCACAACTCCCTTTCTGGAACTTAAAACTAAGAGGGAGAGACAGGCATGACATAACCATGCATTTCAAATGACACGTATGGTAAGTGCTCTTTTCTTTCCTTGCCTAAAGATACCTTTACTTATATGCATATGTATTTAAATATATATGTATATATTTACATCACTGTCCATTTTTGTACAATATATGCTTGTATACTGTCTCCTTTTAAGTGTGTTCCCCATAAAATTCCCACCACCAATGCACCCGTGAACCATTACTATAGTCCCTTGTGATTTTCTCTCCCCTGTTTTGATCCTTCTCCCTCCTCCAAACATGCAGTCAAAAACTGGGCAGAACTAAAAAGACACTTCTCCAAAGAGGAAATACAACAGGGCTACGAGGAAATGTTCAATACCGCTCATAAGCAGGGAAATGCACATCAAAACCACAGCGAGAGACCACCTTACACCAGTGAGAATGGCATATATTAAAAAACAAAACAAAACAGGCCACAATAAATGCTGGCAAGGATGTGTTGAAAAGGAACTCTCCTACACTGCTGGTGGGAATACAAACTGGTCCAACCACTATGGAAAGCGGTGTGGAGGTTCCTTAGTCTACTAAAAATGGAGCTTCCATAGGACCCAGCAATTCTGCTCCTAGGGATCTTCCCAAAGTATGGTAAATGCTTTTAAAGAAATGTTAAGGAGAGGTTATTAGTGACTGTCTTTGGGTTGGGCTAATTGACTGACAGAAAAACCAAGGCCCAGAGTGAGACGCAATTGTGCCAGAGTCACACAGCAGAGTGAGAAGTGAAGACAAGTTTCCAGGGCCACTGTTGCTTCTGCTAACCCCTTACTGGCCCGAGAACCCCACTCAGGTTTAGCATCACTGATCATTTTGATCAGTGCTTGTCAACTGCTAAGTAATGTCATTTCCTGGCCCCTTGAGGGAAGACTCACTCATTGCTGCTGGCTTGGGGGCAGCAAGCTGTGGTTTAGATGACATTTACTGACAAGATATCTAACATGACATGGAGTGACACTGGAGCCTGTGCCCAAAATAGATTTTGGCGAGGAGCTCGTAAGTACATGTAGGTCTACAGGACTTGTGGTGAAGACCTATCAGAACAGATGCCACTTGCTGAAGCACATCAGCACAGGCACAACTATTATTTTAGCAGCCGACATACAATGGATGCTTGCTATCTGTCAGGCACTGTTCTGAAGACTTCACCTGTCACAGCTCAGGTATTCTTTATTTAACACTGTCAGGAGTG